TACATATATTACATATATAAATATATGTATATATGTATGTATAAATAGTATAAATATATATACATACACAGGTGTCTGTATATATATATATTTATACTATATATATACAATATATATGCAATATATGTGAATAATGTGATTTAAAACTATGTGAACCATTGTTAACGACATTCTTGATTTAATTTTCATTTTATCTGTAGGTCTGCGGCTTGGAAGACGTGGCCGTGGGTCAAAAGAAACACAGGGATTTCTGCTCCAATCGTAAACGTTCAACTGAAGAATCTGTAGGTGAACTTAGTTCAGCAACAACAACATCAAGTGATGTGCAAGGATTTAATTTGCGATTTGTGTCGACACGAACAGAAATGGTTCTCTGGTGAGGAGCTGGACGTCAAAGCCATCATGGACACCTGGACCCTGCAGGAGGGCTTCCCACTGGTCACTGTCGAGGTTAGAGGGCGGGAGGTCAGGCTAAGTCAGGAACGTTATCTCAAATCAGACGACCCGTCCCTCACTGATGGGTGAGTTGGTATCTAAACACTAGGAGTGTGTGAGACAGTACTGTAGTGATGTCATTGATTTAGAGTTTTCACTGATGTAAAGCAGTTGCGATGGCTTAGAGATCAAAAATAGTTAACCTGAATGGTCAACTTTTCTCGTATTGGTGGAGGCCGACGTTGCTTTCCTCGACATTCAGACAGAAGTTGTATTCTTTTAACCTCATTGTTTACAAGTTTTTAAATCTGTGTTTGTCAGTTTTTTTCCTTGTTCTTCTAACGTGAACTGTTTGACACTTATTAACTTTTATAACTTTATGTGTCCTTCTCTGACTTTGTGAGTTCAGTAATTCTTCACGCGTGGAGGTTTCCACTCTTCTGTCCCTGTCTGTACTTTAGTACTCTAGTGAAACTTTAGCCTCGCTTTTTATTTTGACTTCTAGTGCGTTTTGGATTTCTGTGTTTACAAAGACAATAATAAGAGTAAGATCTTTTTTTCTTCCTACATGAAAGGAATAAATATATATGTATTTATATATGTATGTATAAATGTATATATATGACAAACAATAATATTTGTCACATATATATGTATGTATGTACACGTGTGTGCAATTATGTGTATACAGTATATACAGTACGTGGGTGTACATACATATTTGTGTACATTTATGTGTATACATATAATATACATATTATATAGTATAGTGTAGCGGTTAGCATGCCTGCCCTAAAGAGCAGAGAGTCCTGGGTTCGATTCCTAGAGAAACCACATGCTTGGCGCTTGCTAGCCTGTTAACAGCATATCTGTTGCTAACACAACAATTTCCCAAATATGCGATCAATGTAGTACAAATTTATTTTTTATTTATTTACTTTTTACATAAATACTTGTTATAACATAAATAATATATTTTTGTATATTTCTGTCCTCCACTTTAGATTTTTGTGGCAGATTCCATTGACCTACATAACCAGCGCATCCAGCACAGTCCAAAGATTCCTACTTAAATCAAAGACTGGTGAGTGATCTGCTCAGCTACACACAGGTGCTACGACCTGTCATGTATTTACAGTATATTGATTCAAGTAATTAAAGGTCATTCTGTAATTTCCTTTCACAGAATTGAATGTTTTATATGTTTATGTCTAGGGCTGTTCAATATTAACTATTTGCCGATATGACGATATTGTCCAAACATTTCCGATATCAACAGATACTCATATATACCCCCTGGTAATATTTAATGGTAATTATTAAAATAGATTTATAAAATAAGCTTCAATCCTGCCATATTTCACCTTCATATACAGCCGTTTTCCCCCAACACTATTTTTAGGGCATTGCATTTTCAGGCATTGCGTTATTGGGTTTTCATTATCAGAGGGAAAAACCGATAACGTTTCTTACATATATTACATAATTATGCTAATATCAGGCCACTAATATCGTAGGCTGCATTATTTTGCTCCAAGTATCTCTCGCTCATCCATGTAGATGTCCTGCACCTGCCAGAGGAGGTGGACTGGGTGAAGTTTAACGTAGACATGACCGGTTACTACATGGTCCACTACGCAATACGCAATGGGTGGAGCTCTATCAACAGACTGCTGAAGCACAACCACACGGCGCTGACCGGCAACGACCGCGCCAGCCTCATCCACAACGTGTTCCAGCTGGTCAGGTCGGTCTTTTCAACTGAACTTCTTCCTTCTGGCTGGTCCACCGTAGCGGACCATCTGCCTCCATCTCACCCTCTCCCCTGCCCTGTCCAGTATCTTCCCTGTCCCTTATGTTGATCATCTTGTTGTGTCGCAGTATCGGGAAGGTGAGTCTGGACACGGCTCTGGAGCTGTCCCTCTATCTCTCGAAGGAGACTGAGATCATGGCAGTGATCCAGGGCTTCGGAGAGTTGGTGCCTCTCTACAAACTGATGGAGAAGAGAGACATGGCAGCCCTGGAGAACCAGATGAAGGTGGGCGAAGACGGCAGTCACGTGACACACAGGGGAAGATGAAGTTTGGGTGTTTAAATAAACTTGTACCCCTCGTGCTCGTCAGGGCTACATATTGGACCTGTTCCAGGGTCTGATTGATCGCCAGGAGTGGACTGACTCAGGGTCAGTGTCTGAGAGGATGCTCAGGAGCTACCTGCTGCTGTTCGCCTGTGTCAGGAACTACTCCCCCTGTCTGACCAAAGCCACACAGCTCTTTAACATGTGGAAGGACTCCGACGGCACCATGAGGTCTGGGGTCCTTAATGGATCACACACAATTAGTCAGACTAGAGATTGTTGAGTAAGGTACTGAGGCATGTTAGGAGTTCAGAGGGACAACTGTTTATACTCACTGTAGCAGCTAAAAAAGTCCTGGAAGTATCTTGGAAATGCCTTCAAGGTCAGCGTGAAATAATGTAAATCTTTTTTTTTATAACATTTTTGTATTTTATAACCTCCTATTAATGTCCTGTGTTAACACCAAGAACCAACAATTCATAGCGAATATACATCTCTAGTTCTTTGGTTATATTTTGAAAAAACTGTACAAATTTTAAAACAAACAAAAATGTTGCCCTTTGCAGTCTTCCGGTCGACATCACAATGGCTGTGTTTTTGGTCGGAGCTCGATCACCAGAGGGGTGGGACTTCCTGTTTGAGAAGTATCGCACCTCAATTCAAACATCCGTCAAGAGCCGAATGAAGATGGCCATGGCTGCCACTCCGCTGCAGGACAAGCTCAAATTGTTTGTATTAGAGTAGTCATTCATACCAGCATTACACGGCTAAGCTAGTTTATTAGCGGAACAGAAATAATTTCGTACTTGTTTTCACGCATTGTATCGCGTGATTGTCAGTGCCTGAGGTAGTACTTCGTTATTTGAAGGTAAAAATTACTTTATAGACCTTATTTTAATATGTACAGTGTCATTAAGACAAAAGACGGTTAGAAAAACAAATTGAATGCGTCATATATATTTAAATTAAATACGATACGTTTTGACCGCTACATAAGATGCTACAACACTGGATAATTAGCTCACATTCAGTCGCTACTCGCGTTCAGCAACAGGTTAGCCTTTTAGGGTTTTCAAATTATAATAAGTTAAAATTAATATATACAATTTTGTTTTTTGTATAAAGCCTCCACTTTTCGTTAACAGAATCTACAACGCGGTTCTAGTTTCCTATGTAGACGGTGACGTTAAGTATTAGGTCAATTGATTTGTAATGTAAGATGCAATGTTACCGCTAGATGTCACCAGTTCCACTCCTTCACTATGTGAAGCCCAGTTAATGCAAAATGTGAAGTATAAAACTAAATGTCTGAAAATATCCCAGACCATCATATTAACAAAGTGATAATGTGTCAATTTTTTTATTTTTGTTTTTTTTTTTTCTTTCTCTACAGGATGATGGAGCAGAGCCTCCACGGTGAAGTGATGAAAACTCAGGATCTCCCATACGTGGTCGTCTCCGTCAGCAATAACCCACATGGCTACAAGCTGGCGTGGGATTTTCTACGAGCCAACTGGGAGGTTATGATCAAGAAGTCAGTTGAGCCGCTAACAGGAAAAATTGAATACTTTTAATGAAGCTATCGATAAAGATCTTTACATTTATGAATTAAGTTATTTTTTTGTAAATTTTTAGGATTTTGTTACTATGTGTGTTTCTACAGGTTTGACCTGGGCTCTCACTCTATAACCCACATGGTGACCGGGGTGACCAGCCGGTATTCTACCAGAGAGATGTTAGAGGAGGTAGGTGTGAACCACATGGTTGCTTAACAGCTTTTGTTTTACATCATTTTCACTGGTCGACAGAAAATGGTAAATCATTTCTGGCGCATGGTTAGCTAAAAGAAAAATAATCATTTTGTATTAATTACAGATCACTATGTTTTTCAACATCGATTCTACACTAGAGGTTGCTAAAACTCACAGCATGGCTTAATAAAGATATATATACACTATATTACCAAAAGTATTGGCTCACCTGCCTTGACTCATACTATGAACTGAAGTACCATCCCATTCCTAACCCAGAGTTCAATATGATGTCGGTCCACCTTTTGCAGCTATTACAACTTCAACTCTTCCGGGAAGACTGTCCACAAGGTTGAGGAGAGTGTTTATAGGAAATTTTGACCATTCTTCCAAAAGCGCATTGGTGAGGTCACACACTGATGTTGGTCGAGAAGGCCTGGCTCTCCGTCTCCGCTCTAATTCATCCCAAAGGTGTTCTATCGGGTTCAGGTCAGGACTCTGTGCAGGCCAGTCAAGTTCATCCACACCAGACTCTGTCATCCATGTCTTTATGGACCTTGCTTTGTGCACTGGTGCACAGTCATGTTGGAAGAGGAAGGGGCCCGCTCCAAACTG